TGTGTGTGTGTGTGTGTGTGTGAGAGAGAGAGAGAAAGAGAGAGAGTTTGTTATCACAGTTATGTTGCCTTCATTAAAATAGCTAGAAGTAAAACATTAATAGTATGGATTCATCGTTTGAATTTAAAAGTTGTATCATTTCATCAACAGTTTTGAGCTCCTAGAACTTTAATCTATCAATTTGTACTTTACTTTTACGTGTGTGTGTGTGTGTGTGTGTGTGAATTATAACTTTATGCTGTGATATTTCATACAATCCCCAAACCTGTTGCTCTTTACTGATACCGTTACTGTTCAAATGTAACGATGTGATTTTTGATGGCGCTGCAATATGTGGAATGTCCCTTTAAATTGAGGTGAGTAATCACGTGCACGTGCACCCATCCATCCATTTTCTATACTGCTTATCCTCTGAGGGTCACAGGGGGAGCTGGAGCCGGTCACCAGCGTATCATATAGAGACAAACCATTCACTCCCACATTCACATCTACAGTCAATTAAGAGTCTCCAATTAACCCGACCCCGATCTACATGTGTTTGGACTGTGGGAGGAAACTGGAGTAACTGGGGAAAACCCACACATACACAAGGAGAACATGCAAACTCCACACAGAAAGATCCTGGCCGATACAGGATTCTGGCTCTGAGGTGAAAGCACCAGTGCGCCGCCCATACAATTACGCTGTCTTCAAACAGTTCATAAAACTACTGAATGGGATAAATAATGTATCATGATAAAAGACTGAGATGTGTGTATGCAGGTGGATATGTTCACAATGTTTGTGGACGAGTTAAGGGGATGTTTCCTTTAGTAGTAACAAAATAATCAGACAAGCCTCTCAGGTAGGTGATCTGATTGGAAATTTAGACCAGGTAGACTTTGTTTTAGTCATTGAATGACAGAGCTGGTCTGTATTCATTATTAACATGGTTTGAGCCAAACAAACAAGGCAAGAAATGCAATGGAGAAGGCATCTATAAGAGCATTTCATATCACCTCATCGACGGTGATATGTTGTGGTTTCTCTCTTGTGACAAATGTACTTATTGTAATTCGCTTTGGACAAAAGCTTCTGCTAAATGCCCTTAATGTAAATGTAAACGTAAGTTTCATCATCCACACAGCAGAGACGACATGTGACAGCAATACTGGAAAACATCAATCTACTCTGCATCTGGTGAGATAAACAGTCTGGCTTTAGGACAGAGAACTTCAGTTACACTTTTTAAAAGAAATCATTATGATCAAGAGAGGGGGAGTCTCTATTTTTCATTTCCTCTGTGAAGTTTAATAATTAAATTGACTAATAAAAAAAATAAAGTTAAATAATAACTAAGTTAGAGTGGGAGAAAAATGGTAAAACCAAAACAATGGTTCAAAATACTAAAGATTTTTTCATTGTAATAGGTTTGCTTGTGTGTTTTTGAAAAGTTTAGCTTTCACAAGACCACATTCTGCCAGAGACAATGAGCAAACAGCCAAGAGGCTAAAACTTTTCATGAGAAGAATTTGTGAGGGAGTCTTGTTGTCGCTGTGGATCTGCGAGAACCAGACAAAGTAAAATTGTTCATCTCATCGAGACATCATCATCACTACCACCCGACATTAGACGCCTCACCAAAGAGAAGCGGTTCTACTTCTGTTTAAACTCATTAAATGTATTTAGTAATGTATGTGAGACCAACATGAATCCTATATTTACTGTGAATATTATCAACTATTGAAATTATGATAAAACACAAGATGTGATCATGCAGTCTAAGTACGTGCTTGCAGTTTAAATCTTTTTTCATGTGGACTTCCAAACTGGTCCACACCCACACAAACAAAAGAAAGAATAATACATTTCACATTCAAAGATCTAGAGTTAGAATTGAACACCGTTAAAGGTGTGAAATATTTCATACATAACATATCCACTTGCTTTCCAGTGTTGTGACAAGATGGAGGAACAAGATGGTGGAGAAAGATGTGCTTTAATTTTTGCATTAAAAATGGGTCCAGCTTTTTCTCAGTCTCTCATTTTAGCCTCCTGTGCACTTTTTCTGTTACATGTCCGCGATCTCTATATTTAACATATATTTTTCACTGAATTTACACATTTGAACTGAACACAGTTGACTTAGACCGATGTAATATGACAGGAGCTTCATCAGACTAGCTGCGTTCATATTTTACATATTTTAACTGGGGCTGCTGGACTCTGAATTTCATCACTTCAATTTATCAGACATAACATTTCTTGAAATGTCAACAATATCTCAATTTACCTCACACCAGTTACATTAGCCCCATTAATGAACAGAAAACCCCAGATATGACTCGAGCTTTTTTAGCCATGTACAAAGTACAACGTAGAATAATTTTGGGAGCATGTCGTTGAAACATTACTTCATCAAACTCAGCAAAACTGATAGGTTTTGGTATTTTAACTGATTTTGTCTCCTGCTCTTGATGTTGTGCATCACTAGAAAAACATATTTGTGTCACAATTCAAACATATTAATATATATAAACATATTAACAAATGTAATGATAGGGGTGTTTTGCAATGCCGAGGAGACGAATCAAATGCTTCCTTATGATTGTTTAATCTAATTGGAGGCTAGAGAGTGTGTGTGTGTTACATTAAGCCTCCCATCTTACATGTACATATGAGTTTCTGTGGTGGAAGTGTGGATGTACCTAAATCCTGTGGCGCAAGAGAAGGGGAGACTGAGGAGAAGATGCAGAGGAGTGAGGAGGCAAAAGAAAGAGGAGGGAGAGCGGACGTCATCAGACGTGTTTCACTCAGCCAGGATTTCCCCTCCATCAATCCTCACCTCGGGCCCCTGAGAGAGACGGAGTGAATGAGAGAGGACGATAAAGATGGAGAGAGAGGAAGAGACAGAAAGAAATCACAGGTGAGACAGGAGGAGAGACAAGGGATTAGGATGAAGATGCAGAAAAAAGAGGAAAAATCAAGAAGAACAAAGAGCAAGAAATTATACAAAATATTAAAGCGAGGAGGTTTGAGTTAAGACAAAGAATCAGATGAGAGTTGCAGGTATAGTATCAGTGCATGTTGCCCATCTTTCATCTAAAAGTCAGAATCCTTGAGATTTTCATGAAACATGTTATTTTACCTCCACCAAGGAGGCTGTGATTTCACCTCGTCTGTTGGTTTGTTGGTTTGTAAGTAAGATTCAACAGATTTCCATGAAACCTCGTCGAAGGATGTGGTATTTGAAGGAAGAACCCACTAAATTTGGGGATGGATCTGGATAAGAGGGAGGATCCTGGATTGTTTTTCACTTTCAGATAAGGTGGGGTTTTTTTATGTTTATGGATTCCTCTAAATAATTCAGGCATATTGAGGTTACTGATTTCTGAGTGTGTAAAATTTGGTGCAGCTTGTTTGAATTTAAGGAGACTTTTGGGCCTTAGTGCATGCACTCCACTGAGTACCATTCTAGTTGATAGTTGATTTAATGTATCTACATTCTATAAATATCTCAGTTTTTATTGGCAGTGGAGTCTACTCTTCCAGCACAATTTCATATGTTCCCCTTTACGTCACCTTTTATTTATCTTATGTATTTACTTTTTTTTTTTACTTTACTGCTAATTCAAACCCAACATCTCCTACTGCTGATGTTTCGACTGTCAAAAGAATTTCCCACAGGAGTGTTTGTCATTGCAGTTTATATCAATCACATCTGTTCATCAGAAATGTTTCTATAAAACAAGACAGTAATGTTTTCCCATTTCTTTGTCAGCAGATCATTAACATTTTTTTGCAAGGGAGTAATAAACATGATCAACAGATACACCAGTTTCTCTTATTTCTGACAAAGTAGCTGCTTGAGGAGTTTCTACTGTTCATCAAAGTAACATGATGCTTTATAAGAATGATTTTACCTTTAGGTCGAGAGTGATTTTGATAGTATATATATTTGCTATATAGAAAACGGTATATCCACACTCCCACCGCAGGATGTTCTTTGAGCAGGTTCAGTCTCCTACAAGAAGTGTGTCAGGCTTTGTGGCACTGCGTCACACACCAGCAACCACTGGTGTTAAAATGTTTTCTTGAATAGGTTCTTCTTTCACGTGTCAGTGTCTGCCTCAATAGAATTATAACATCATGGTTAAAGCAATGAAAACTAAACAAAATAAAATACATTTTAAAAAGTATTGTTGACCAGTGAATTTACTGGAAACAGTAACACTAACACTGAGACTGACTTTGTTAAGGGGCTTTGGAAAACTTTTGAATTCTTTTCTTTGAACTTGTAATTTAGTTTTGTTTGGATTTCATGACTTTTGGACTTTCCTGTAATTTCCTAATCTCAAGACTTTCTGAAGTTACTTACCTCGTGTGTCTCGTCTTACTTTAGGCTACTTCCTGTCTCTGTCTGGTTTCCCTCTTCAGTGATTATCTGCCCCGCCTTAACGTCTTTCACCTCTGCCCAATTATCCCTCTTCCATTTCACTTTTGTTACTTCATCAAACTCAGCAAAACTGAAAGGTTTTGGTATTTTACTAATTTTGTCTCCTGATCTTGATGTTGTACATCACTAGAAAAACATCTTTGTGTCACAATTCAAACATATTAATATATATATATACATATTAACAGTTCATGTTCCCTGCTGTTACCTCACCCTTTGGTCATGTGTGCATGGTTGCTTTACTTGTACCAGTTCATGACTTTTCGCCTGTCTTTGCTGCCTTCGTAAAGTTTGGATTTCCTCAGTTTATTCTTGCTGCTGACCTGTCAACAGAGACTTGTTGTACTATCAAACATTGTGTTCTTCCCTGCCTGCCTTATTCAATGTCCTGTAACCTACAACCCCTCACAACATTTATTTCAAAAACACACACTGTTCCATTTGCCATAATTTTTCGGGTGAAACCAAAAAGAACCAACTCTTCCAAGAAATTGGTGAGATTTTGGGGGATCAACCTTTTAACAATAATGAGGAGAAAGAAGGAGAACAAGGGTGATTGGTGAGAGGGATTTGGACAAACTGATCAGACACACACACACACACA